TCGGCATCCCCCGCGTCTTTTTAAACCCGGAAGTAAAATCCTACGTACGGACACCGCCGTCACCGTTTGGAGCAGGCCACGGGGCAGATTTAGGCCCCGCGCGAGATTTTTTTAGCATAATCAAGTATCGGTACGCAAAGCGTCAGACTCCGCATTTCCTGCTCCAAGGACCTGCAGGGGCTGGGCCTGGCAGGCAGCTCTGTGGGTTTTTCGGGCTACTTTGAGCGCTGTGTTTCTGCCCCCCGGACCCCCCCCGTTCCCCTCCAGTTCCCTGCGGTCCATCCACTTCACCGTGAAGTCGCCAGCATCTAGGGCGCGTTTTCTCACCCCCGGATGGAAGTACACGCGCCACATCACTCCCATTGGTGCCTGTCGTGGAGCCGCAGAAAGGAGTGCTGGCGGGGCCGCCTTTCTGCGTTGCTGAAGAGTGGTATCCTTGCTGTGAACATGAGACAGAAATGATTCGGACAGCATGCAGTAGCAGTATGTCACATTTTATTTGTGTTGTTTTAAAATTTCTTCATGAAAGGGTACAGTTCTTAGGCTGAGTAGAACATTCAATATTTTCTAAGTATTTAACAAAAGATACCTGCCAGTACGCAACTAAAAGTCTGATGGCACGTAAAGCCTCACTCTACACTGATTATCTTTCCCAGGTGTTCACTGTCGAAGAAATGATGCCTCATGTCCAACACATGAAAGGAGGTCACAGTAAAAACCTTTTTCTTAAAGACAAAAAGAAGAAAGGGTTCTGGCTGGTGACTGTTCTGCACAACAGGCAAATCAATTTAAATGATCTTGCTAAAAAACTGGGTGTTGGAAGTGGAAACCTAAGATTTGCTGATGAAAACGCCATGCTTGAAAAACTAAAAGTGGGCCAGGGCTGTGTGACACCCCTAGCCCTCTTCTGTGACCAGGGAGACGTGAGCTTTGTATTGGATGCTGCCTTTCTGGAAGGTGGCCATGAAAAGGTGTATTTTCATCCAATGACAAACTCAGCAACCATGGGCTTAAGCCCCGACGACTTTTTGAAGTTTGTGAGATCAACAGGCCATGATCCCATCATCGTGCATTTTGATGAAGACACCAAGTAGAGGAAGTTCACTTTTCCATTACTAGGCATAGGTTTTGTAGAGCAAAACTGGTGAAAGTATAATTACAAATAAAATCTGTAAAAAAACAGGCTTACTCCTTTATTTTTGCACTTGTGTAAGTTTATATTGTATCATCTAGTGAGAAAAATACTGTCTTTGGGTTATTAGAAGTTTAACAGAATATTCTTAAGAAGACAAAGACATGTTTGCAATCTAACACTAAGTAACCAGTTAAGTAGAAAAGGCATTATTTAAATAATATTACAGTCTTTATTAACAACATGGATGAAACTGGAACTTCCCGTGTGTGGTACTGGCCTTGAAGGTTTAAACTTAAAACGTCATCATGAGGAAATAACAAATTAACTTCAAAGTTATAAAATACCTGTCAGTACACACAGGACAGAGATGCCTAGATTGTACACCTGTACCCGT